AGGTGGGGAGGATGCGTGTTTGTATGTATTTCCATTAGCCAGTCCCTGCACACTGAGATACTTAGCACTGGACAAAGACACAGCCAAGCTAGGTTAGAGTCCCTCTCCTGTCTCAACTGGAAACCAGCTGACAACCTGAGCTAAGCAATCTGGGAATTACACTCACAAATCATATTAACAGCAGGATTTCTGCACGCAAGTCCCTGTTCTGAAATACCTGTCATATGCTTTTGTTCCCTCATACATCTCCTTTAAGAGTCCCAGAAGTTCTTTTCTGAGTGAATCATATACTAAATATTTCACAAAACACGGACCTTTTCCTTGCTCCCAGTGGTTTTCAATCATCTACTTTACTGCCAACATTTGGTCGACAGCACCATGTCCTTCTATGAACTCTGTCTCTGTCCTTGTATCCTGTTTATGAGCACTGTGGCAAACACTCAGCAATCAGACTGTCCTCGAGTCCTTTTATGTCTCACCCTTCAGTGAATAGGACTAGTGCTGCCGGCCTCTAGACCCAAGGAGCAGTCCTTTCCCAATTTGAGTGCCACATTTCATATCCCATCAGTTCTTGATTCTGTAGTATTAGGATTTGTTTTTTCTTTTTTCATGGTCTGCAGTTTCAGCATCAATCTCAAAGTCCCAAAGCTGCCTCAAAACAAAAACTTGCACTTTCTCTCTCAAAAACATATCCTACACAATTTAATTGCAGCAGCTGTCAGAACAAAGGATAAGAGAGCAAAAAGGCTACACGCAGAATACAGGAGTGAGCACAGGTACAGAAATACAACTTCAGTAGCAACTTCACCTACATGTGAAAAATCTAAGACTATCTAGATCCCTTGCGCAGAGGTGACTACAAATTACAGGCATTTTTTAAAACACCAACAAATCACAAATGAACTTTTTAGAGCTTAGTTCTTGCAAGTAGAAGTTCACTATGATACCCATACTGAACTACCCTCCTTTTCAGTGGTATTCAGTGGCAATTTAGGAAACACTTATTACAAAATATTGCATCACATTTAATTATCAAAATAAAACCTTTTTTTTGTTTAATGTTTTACATTACTTAGTATCTTTTCTCCAACAAGTATCTAAAACATTCTACAAAATACTGTGTGCATACATAGAGAACATAAATATTGATAACTTCTACTACAGAAGTTGTCAAAATCAATTCAATTTGTGTCTTAAGTAAAATATTTGAACGAAACCTTAGTCATACATGTGAGGAGTACACAGAATAATTAACCTACATAAACATGGTTTCAAGATGTTTTCTGAAATATCGCATGCTGAATCACTAAACCATAGTATATATATTTGCTGTGGTTTTTTTAAGATGCTTCTCTTTTCCAAATACGTGTTTGGAAAAACAAATCACAACAGAACAGCTGAAAACCATATTCTAAACAATCTTCAATTTATTTTTGCACTCCCACAGTTTTAAGAAAAAATAAGCGGTTGGTTATTTTTAAAGTGACATTTGGTCTCTGGCTAATAAAATCCAAAACCTACTGCCCAAGGATCATTTTTACGGCCCAGTCCAGTTCCAAAATCAGTGTTTTCTGAAGACTATACTGAGACAGTGCCAAACAGCATGAAAGGCATAATGATAGTTAACTATATTTTGCTTTCAGGTGAAAAAGCTTGGTAGGACTATCTCCTACAGAAGCCTTTTCCCAGTGCAGTATATTACATAGCTCAAAAGAGAAAGAGAAATTGTTAGCTAAATTTAAAGGGCAATATCATGAGTATGACTGTTCTGTCTTGGTCAGAGAAAAACTCCATACCCGCTCTGCAGCTCACTCATGGATAAGGGTGCTTTATGCGAAGATTCTCTTGTCTTAGTCAAGTCTCCTTTTGATGAGTTACGCTCATCCTAAAAAAAAAACAGAAATCAAATTCTCATTACCTTGGTTTCTGATTACTATGATCTCATTTCAAAAATACTTTCCTTCCACTTAGTAGAAGACTATTAAAGCACTTACATTTCTTGGGGGAGAAAGGGACAAAGTGTAATGAGCCAAATGCCATTTATGAACACTTTTAATTAAATTCAGTACAACTCAGCTAATAATTTTCAGGTAATAAACTGGAAAGAATTTCTAGACAGTGTAGATCTAAAGAACTATGCAGACAGCACATCTTCAATAATCCCCAACAAACATGTTGGTTAAATGCTATGAAACCTAGTGCTCACTGCCTTACTTTTGTTTCTTGCAGAAGAGGGGAAAAAGAACCTAAAACTTATTATTTATTAGCTTATATGAGCTATTGTTATCCATTTAATGCATTTTACCAGACAGAAGCATTCTACACATCTGGATACTTTGATTCCATATACAGGTCTGGGAACATGTGTACCCAACTTTAAAAAATATCTATAATACACTTAATGACCCTTCAGTGGTATTCTTAGGAGTCTCTAGAAAACAGTCTTACCTTCCAAATGCTATCTAGACATTAATTAACCCATATTTACCCTCTTAGGTAAGTAAGAAACAAAACACCTCTTGTGAAGGGAGCCAGTTGCTCACCTGAGACAGGATGATAGAAATTCCACCACACACATCTACCTTCACTCTACTCTGAAGTGCAAAGACACTACTTAAGAGGTGATACCAAGTGATGCTTTTAGCAGAAGCCAATTGCTCTAAGGATTAGTAAACAAAATCATCTTTCATGCTATAGAAGAAATAACCAGAAAAAAAAGACTGTGCAGTAAAAATAATCATACTTGCTGGTAATGGAAAACTGGGAGAAAAGACAGTAAATATAGTGGTAGATGGCAATAAGATGCAGAGCAAGCTGAAAGGCAGGCGTATGGATGAGGAAAAACCTAACACAATTTATTGTGGTGAAATACATGGTAATAAGTGTGTTTGTAAACAGGAAAACTCTCTTCATTCAGCAGTCACAGACTACAAAGCACTGAAGAAGAAATGGGGTACAGTGGTAAATAAAACTCTGCAGCATTTGCCACAGGCAAATGATGTTCTGGAAAGCAAAAAAAGATGGAAACATTACGATACTGTCAGAATGTCACAGCAGAAAGCTACAGTGGACACCCTAAGGAATCTGCAGCAGAGCTCCAATCACACTATTTTTACACAGCACTATGGCAACAAAATTTTGGAAAACACAGCTGGATGCTTCTGGGAACGGTTATTTAGCATTAGGCTCTTTGGAATGAAACAGAATAAGAGATACTTTTTAACCTTTCAAAGTTTGGAAGAGGATCCAGACTGGAGTCAGAATTTACTCACCACATTGCCAGTGCACTTGCTCTACTATTCCCTCACTTTCAAGACAACCCATTTACCTCATCCATCCACTGTGTAACCACGCAGCCTAGATTTTGGGCCATCTGGGGAAGCACAACCAATCCAGGTGTATTTTACAGTACAGGTAGACCTGATTTTTTTTAAGCATGTCAGCTGCTGTTAGCCCAGCTTTCACAAGTTAGCTGTACACGATTATCAAACACCGTGAGACTTCTCTGTAACATCCTCCCATTCCTTTTGCTCAGTGAAAGAAAATGAAGTGAGAAAAATTATCCTTTTCCAGCTTTGTTCTGACCAGGTTGGTAATTAAGGACTCAAAAATCTTACCCAATACCCTGATATCTGGAATTTAGGGCAGAAACATGAAGTTTTCCAGCAGGACAGGAAACAGAAAAGCATGATCTCTGATTATTAATCCCGGTGAGTATTCAGCAAGTGTTTGATACTGGAAGTGAGAAGGTATGCTAAGAGAAAGCCAACAAGAAGCACCACACTTCGAGAATCTAATATCATGCTTGCAAATTTGTGTGCATTTATGCAATATTGCAGTAACAAGTGAATACCAGCATATGTCAGTCATTCTAGAGTAGAATGTCTTAAATTATATAAGTAAAATAAGTAAATAGGAAGAAAATTATCAAATTCTCCTTTAGCCATTACTCTATTAAATAGTCTTTATGACTGTATGGAGAAACCATGTAACCAGCCATCCAGCTCTCCTAGCAAACTAGTAAATCTTTTATCGTAAAAGTCATGGTCTGCTGTTCAAGGAAAGTAGTCAAGGACCACTGGAGACAGACAGTTCAGGCTGTGCAAACTTTCATTACACGTAGATGCTGGACCGTCATGAAATTCAATTTGTTATCTTAAGTTCATTGAAACATCAGAGAAGCATTTGACATGATTTGTACCTATTTTGGAGTGGCTGAAACACAGAAGAATGTGATGAGCATCTTCTATGTGAGAGGCAGCATCTCAGAAGATCATAATGTTCGTATACAAAGAGGTACAGCATGAACGAGATCAAACGGTCTCAGAATGCAGGAGAAGTTTTTTCAGAGTTCAAAACAAAAAGCATAACAACTAAGTTTAAAATGAAGATTGAACAGAAATGAGGAAATAATCAGATTCAGAGAGCATACAGGCAACACAAGGGGCTGCCCAGGATGGCTAAACGTGGGGAAATAAATAAAGAAATCAAGACTTCAGAGCTAAGACAGATGATCTTCAGTACATCTTGCAGTGGTGGATTGAGACAACCTTCACTTCTGCCCCAGCCCTATGCCATGGGCTTACTGTCGTCAGTGGTCAATGCATTCCAGCCAGCACAACTCATATGCCAGCATATGAGTGTTACGCCAGCCATTTCTGTGCTGAAGGGAGAGGTGGGGAGGCCAGGGCTCTCATGCTCTTTATCACAGGGACACTTACAGCTGCAGTAACATTCAAAAGCAGGAGAAAGTGAATTAAGATGTCTTTCTCCACTTTGAGAGACTCGTGTTTCTTCTAACCCATCAATAAAATTTTTGTGTTAGATTGTCAGACAAAAACAGTAATTTCATCAGAGCTCCTTATCTTAATCTTGCCTACCTCTTATCCTTACATCCTTTTCACTTACCTTTCTTTTACCTCACCACACACTTAAGACCCTAAGTTCTTTGCAGATGAACAACCTTGTTATTCAGTTTGTAAAATGCTTTGGCCAGGGAGATCCTTTGCCCCAACTGGGTTTCCTCAAAATTGCAATAGCAAAAATTTTTATCTGACTAAAACCACACTTCAAAATTCCATCAGACTCAAGGACAAAACATTCTGATCTTGTGCATAATCTCATTAGATAAAGAGCTCTGAAAACCAGGTAATTAAGGCAAAAGAGCACATATCTGAAGAATAATATTAGCTCTAGAAACAACTGGACACAAGCAGCTGCTGATGTGCAGCTGCACAACATGTTAAGCCTTGATGTTCTACGGATCTGTAACTTTTTTGCTTAAATTGGAAGCGGAGAACCAGATATTAAAAAAAGTAATTGTCCTCAATACCCCACAAGAGGGTTACCTATACCAGCTGTCCATAAAGGTTACACATAAAGAGGCTACTGAAATCAGTGTGAAACGGTTCAGTTTATATACTGAATCCATATTTCTACAATCAAGGCTGCTTCAAAGGACAACATTATAATAAATCCAGGACTGTAGGCAGAGTTCTCTTCTTCAGCCATCTTAGAGAAAAGAAAGGATTTAGTTTGCCGTCAAACTTACAAATATTAGGCGCTGTCTAGCACTGTGTGTCCTTAAAATATTTTTCACTCGTTTATGGATCTCATCCCCGTTTGCTGGTGAAGGCCATCCCGAGCTAAATCTGCAGGAGGAAGAGGAAAAACAAACAGAAGAGATATTTTCTTGTTGAAAAGCTCAAACATGCTTTTGACTCAGATTATTTTTTTTTTAAAATTATGAAGCATGCATTATTTCCTTCTATTTGGAACATGTACAGTGTCTAGATTTGATTCTTTTTCTCCTCTGGGGTACAAGTAAAGAAACATTTCAATGCAGTGCATAAGCGGCATGCATCCACAATACCAACAGAAGATGTGAAACAGAAAATGTTGACTATTTTGTAACTTGAGTAATATTTCTGTAATGTTTGCATTGTCCCTACAGAATAGAAAAGCTATACAGTTTTTCTATTCCCAGTGATCAGGTTTCATTTTCCTCTTTTTAAAGGAAGTATTACAAACATGAAATTCTTTTCACTGGAATAGATCAACAAGACGATAACTCCAATGTGTGCAAATTGGAAAGCCCATGGAGTTAAGAACCTGCAAATTCACAATTTTTATTTCACAAGATAAAACTGCATTTTAAATTGCTTTTTTACATTAAAAACCAGGTAGCTTGCTTGATGTGAGTGACTTAAAACCAACAGCTACCTTTGGATTTTACCCTTTTATGTTTTGCAGTACATTTTTTTCTACTTTACTAAAAAAAACCCAACTAAACAACCAAACCCCTCACCCTTCTCAGCAAGTTCAGAAGCTGGCAGAAATTTCATATCAATAGTTATCCTTGGACTGTTAAGATTTTTAACTAAGATTTTAAGAATAGGATCATTTACACAGAAACCTCCATTAACCACACATGTTAGTACACTCAAAAATGTATTATTGAAAAAAAAAAAAAAAAGGACAGATCAACATAAGGAAGGAACTATTGGGGAAAAGTTATGAAATGTTTACTTACACAATAGAAACAGGACACCAAATCAAGACTGTGCATCTTCATTTCAATGTTTCCTAACCTCTGAGAACCTGACTTTGCACCAAGAAAATAAAAACTCATGATGTGGTACCATGCTAATATGAATACAGGTCACCAGACAAGCTGCGAGCTGGTAAGCCATACCGCTGCAAATTGAGCTAACGGAACAACAGCCAACAGCAGTACCAGGCTGCCATACTCTGGGTGGATTAGGAGCACAAGAAACAGCAACATGCTTTGACAGTTGGCTTCACAAATTTGATGCAGTTGAGAAACATCATGACTCTGAACCCAGAGATTCTACGTTGCGCTCTGGATGGGTTTGTGGGACTGAGACTGCAAGCCCCTCTGCCCTCTTTTCTCCAATTTATCACATCCCCTGTGTTATCCCATCTACCACTCAGAAATCCCCATCCTGATCATGCCTGGCTTAGTTCACCTTCATTAAACTTCCAGAAATTCCAATACAGCTAAATAACTGTACAGTTCCTTTCAAAAAGAACAAACCAAGCACACATAGAAAGGTTCAGTTCAAAAGGAGTAACTTGGCAACATTAATGGAAGCAGGATCCTGAATACGGGAAGTGCCCAGCTGCCTTAAAGGTTACAGGCAGGGCTGGGAGCACTTTGGATCTTTTGGATCATTCCTTCTATTACTAGAGAGAGATAGAAATAGACGTAGAAAGTGACTGGTTCTCTGCTATTGAATAACTTTCTTCTATTTCTTGTACCTTGGACTCACTTATTATTGTTTACTGTTCTGAAATATCTCTGTTCTAAAGAGCCTCAATATTTTCAGCCTATTCAATGAGTTTCTTTAAATCAAACCGTCTATTTCTGAATGCTTCAATTCTTCTTCAAGAAATGGTGCCAAGAAATGACACAATATTGGGAGAATGAATCATATCATCTATAGGGGGATGTATTTTCCATATTTTTAATGACATTTAACATTGTTTATCTTTGGATCATTACAGGCAAGAATTTTCACAAAGCTGGCTATAACATTTGTATTAGCATCCCGAACATTTAAAATTAATTTCAAACCCAAGAGCATGTATGGCAAATCCATACTGTTCAATTCTTTTGCATACTAGAATCTAACGATCTATTGCACTAAAAGATCGCACATAACTTTTCCTAAAAGAAAGCAAAATGGTTTGTGAATTTTGTTAGGGGCGGAAAGCATTGCCTTTAAAGAAATAGAAGTCTGAGTCCTTTAAGCAGGCAGCAGTTCATTTCCGTAACACAGTCAAACCCAGTTTGATGTACTGCACTACAATGCATGCGCTCTATCACTAGCAGTTAAAAAAAAAGTTTGTTTTTAAAAAAAAAGAAGAGAGGTAAAGGAAGGGGACTGGAGTGGTACCATAATCTTACGACCTCCCATTAGCATTTACAAACATTTACTAATATTAAACAACCTCCAAAATGCATCTTTAAAAATGTGCATCCTAGATGCAGTAAGAGTGAGTCATTTCCCATTTGACAAATAAAAGATAGATGCATGAAGTCATGGCATTTTCTCTTACTTATACAGCAGCTGCTGCTCTTCCAACATCCAGGTGGCTGGCATTGAGAAGAGAGGTTGGAATATATTGCCTTTGGGAAATAAATTTTATGAAATCCGTATGTAAGATTTCAGATCATTGTTATTAATCTTAAATTTACAAATATCCTTGGAGATAAATGTATTTACTTTTAGAAAAAAAGAAAACTCAGCTTGCTGCTGTATTCATTTAGAAAATACGTGGCTATGCCTGCAAGAAAAAGAAGATTTAAGTACTTAATTCAAGAAGTATTAGATTTCTTTCTTCAGGTGATTTTATTGATCAGTCCACTAGTGTGCGCTGTGGTATAAGAAATGTTAGCCACTCACACATACTGGAAACTTAATCTTACCAAAAAAAAAAAAAAAGGGAAAAAAATCAAAACCTCAAGTGTGATTAAAAACAGTATCAGCTGCTTTTTAATTAGTTTTTCTACTATTGTTATTGTCTAATTTTAGTAATAGTATTGAGTCTAATCCACATTTACAGTCATAATGTTAATATTTACACCAATCAAAACTCTTCACTAAAAATCATGCCTGAAATGTAACAACCATAATCTGAAGTGAAACCTTTTTATGATATTCTAACTCTCCTATTGGAAATATTTTATAAAATGGGCTTTAGAGCACAGCTTCCTAAAGAATAAATAAAGGGATTCCATTTGCCCCAAATCACCAATAACAAGTTTTTTAAATTACTAGCTACTTATTTATGTGATTAAGGTGTCACTATCATATTGCAATGTTGAAAGGAAAGTAATTTCATTTCAATGACTGTTTGTCCTGATAAACGAAATAAACTTCTACAGCTGTATTCTTTGTCATACTTTCAATTTTCCCTGGGACTTGCAAACATTCTGCAGTTACATCAGTTTAAATTGTTTATTGATTCCAATAGATTGTATAAACACTTTGGAAATATAGCTCAGTGACCTAGAAAAAGCCAGATCAATCAGAGAACTTCTCAAGATTAATTTCAAAGATGTTGTGTTGAGTACGATCAAGGAAACAGAACCATTTTCCCCTGTAATGTGACTAAAGGCATTTATTTTCTTTTATGAGATAAGGATTTTTTTAAGGTCATAGAGACAACATCTACCTTGATGAAAAAAAGAAGCCAAACAGGCAGTCTAGATCTTGTGCTAAAGATTAAAGTTATTTTCATGTATAATTTTATCCATTAGGATGAAATACTCCATTAGAAATACAAACAGGATACATCCACCCATGTACTCTAGTCAAAGAGCAGCTTGCGAACTTGAGAGCTGTAATAAATAGGAATTTTCAAATGTCAGACAATCCAATCATCCACTTGCACATAGCAAAAATGTTAATATCGCATTTCAGCAGGAGATACTAATACATTTCATATGAGTAGAATTAATGCAAAAGCCTACTGCAGAATATTTGCAATGCCTATCGTGACCCCTTCCCCCACCATCACACCTCCTAGCCTTGTGAACAACTCGGTGCATGTGGCCTCCATGCAGAATTCATCAGCTTCAAAGACACAGACTTCATGCTGAGCAAAACCACGTACAAGGACAAACTATCAGAGGACAGAAATCAATGAAGTACCGTAGTACCAGATTCACAATTGGAGAGAATGCTACTGTAATTGGGGAGAAGAGGGAGAAAGAACTCTTAAAACCAAGTATAACCTGAAAAACCACAATCTGCAACAACTTATACATGGAACAAGAGGGATGCTAAAGGAAAGCAAATATATTTAATTCTGACATAGGAAAAAACCTCATAGGTTTTATATCCAAGCCGGCATTTATGCAGCATTCACAGTAAGTGGGGAAGTTGCTTTAGTCTCATTTAAGAGGACATGAAGTGGTAATTCATCACTATGAACTTGGTTCTCAGTGTATACTGGTCTGTATGGAGGCACAATAGAAAGGCTGGGCTACCAGTTTTACTGGTTGACTTAGTAAAGGACGCAATTTTGGTTTGCTTTTTCTTAAAATGACTGATGGCTATGAATATTAGTGTAGATGCAGCTATACCAGTGCAAAAGTGGTTTAGAGACTATATTGGTACATACCAGTTGCTGAATTGTAATGAAAACATACCAACGTACAAATACTCTAAGAATGTAAGGATTCTAAGCGGAGCAAGTATGCTGCTTTCACAATGCCAGGATACTACCATGAAGCAGATACAATTACACAAAGGCAAAGCCTTAAATCAAAGCACAGCAGCCTATATATTTGGAAGCAGAAGCTGACAGCTTAGCTGTGTACCCATTTGCTCTCCCTCTTCAGTAACAAATTATTAAAAAGTAAAAAATTCTCATCTTTTCTAAATAGTTTCTCTTACTTTCAAAAGCCCTGTTTACAGTTAGGCCTTGAAGCACCAGAGATACATTCAGTGCTGAGTTTTTTTAACTAGTACATGCTCTTTTCCCTCCTAAGCTTCCTATCTAGTCCTTAAAACTGGGGCAAGATACATCATCTTCACGTAAAAAGTTCTGCTACTAAAACATTAGTATGGCATAAATGTGTTGTACCTCCTTATGCTCTTTGGAAGCTTTTCCATTACCTTCTATCTTCTCTTAGTTTATTCATTTATATACAAAATGGCTTTGACAGCAATCAACTTCAAATTTACCTACCGCTGCAGCAAAATCAACCAATGAAGATGACAAATATGTACAGATGTTGGTCAAAAATACAAAACACAGCTGAAGTACTGCTCTGTTATGCAGAATATAGTATGAGATAACTGATCTTCAAGTGCAGATTTCCAGAGGTTAACTTAATGCAAAATAAGGAAACTTCCCCAAGAGGTGAGACTGATAAACCCAAAAGATTCAAGAACAACCTAACTACCAAACTAAATTTCAAAAAATCAGAAAAAAATACTTCTAAATAGCTAGAAATAGACAGGAAACCTAGCTGCAGCCTCTCCCTAGAAAAAGCTTTTTTAAAAACAGTCTGCTAAACTTTTCAGTGTTCCACTTTGTAGTAGAAAGTTCTCAGAACTTAAACACATCCTCACAGAAGTAACCCCTATCTTAGGATGCATGCCACTCTCTAAAATACAAAGGTGAACTACCTGCGGTCTGGATTTTGCTATGGAACAAAACTAGTACCCAAGATCCTGGGGTGGCATTTCAAGATCACTGAAGCCAAAGCTTCTGGTAATTGGAATTTTCAAGGACTTCATATAGGATCTAGTCTTTCATTAGTATCTAACATTATATCTGTCATCAGTAATAGTTAACTTCATGCTGGTATTTCACTAGTACTTGGAAAAAGATAACATAAAAAAATGGTAGTAAAACAATAGAGGAATATTCTGTGATATTACAGAAGGCATCCAATCCATACAGTTAACCTCTGTCTTGCTTCAAACAGAACTTAGATTTTTGTTAAATTTTACAGTAGGTAAGACCATATATCAGCAGTATAACCAGGAGAACATAAAAAAAAGACATTGAGCTGGACTTCACTCTAGAAATGATTATTCTTCAGATCAATGATAAAAAACAAAAGCAAAAGCCTGCCATGTCCAGAGTAGGAAAAAGAATCCTTTGATCTCACATGCATGAGAAGTAGCTTTGCCTCTCAACATAACAGAAACGGTCAAATACTACTATGATTGCTGCGGTCTCTTGAAAAAATAATTTATCTTGTGCCAGCAGATAGCTCCATTCAGAGAACTTCTGTAATTACCTTACAGAATCCACTGCACTGTTTCTCCTTTTCTTTACAAAAGGTACTGTGCTGCAGGATTTAATACAGGGAAGGCTTACCACACAAGTCCCCAAGAAAAACACCATCTCCTAGGAGTGCATAAGGATGCACGTGTACTATGAAAGCAAGCACTGGACTTGAATTTTGCTTCCCTGCAGCAGCACCAAGAGAATATAGTGCTAATACTCTTTCACAAAGCATACAGGACACTTATCGACACACAACCAACCAGTCTGTGGGGGCAAGTCAACTGCATTGACTGAAGGTGGCCACACACCATGGGCAGGAGTGTGCATGTACCATTGCTCTGCACAGGAGCTAGAATCAAAATGAGAAGTAGAGTTGTACAGCCACATCACTTTGCTTAGTGTCAGTTTGCAACACTAGCGAATCCTTTTCTCAGGTGACCTAAATAATGAAAAATGTAAAAATAAAGTATGAAAAATAAATATTAAAATCTTTGCTACCTTGTTCAGCAGTAAATCTATTTACAGTTCTGCTTCTGGTTCAAACACAGTTGAAAAGGGGAGAAGATTGATTTGTGGTCTCTCTAGCCTGCTCACAGAAAGGGACTGGCAATTGCTAGAAAGGATACAAAAGGGCTCAGAGGACCTTATGCAAGACCCCAATTTCTGTATCACTCAAAGGTATTGCAGTGGCTTAACAACTATTCAGCAGTGCTCTAGGAAGTACTCCCAAGAAGGCAGACATTAACTTCATGCTACTTTTTTTTAAAAAAGGGAACTAAAGGTCAAGGTGGAGAGTCAAGTTTCATATTTACTGCGGGTTGATTAGCATTAAAAAAATAGCCTAGATACGATAAGTTTTTTGTCTTTATAATTCAAAATATAATTGAGGAAATAAACACCAAATACTGTGAGATAAGACTCTCTATTCTTGCAAATACACTAACACTGGTATACTTTCAGCAGTACTGATTTTCTCTGTATTTCTATGATCTGAACAGCAGCGTTTGCACACATTTCCAAACATTGACCTCTGTTCCATGTTTGTCATTCCAACTGTGACTCTCAGTATTCAGTCAGCTAAAGCCATTGTTATCTCAGCAGCTTGAAATAGAGATCAGATTTTTTAGACTATGCCCTTTACCTTTGCGTTTTGATTTTCTTCTGATGACTAAATAAATGCTTACATCTTTAACATAAAGAGATGTTACATCTCTAAAGAGCTGAGAACATTTGTTCTAATATGAAGAAAAAACATAATTTCACAAGATCACAGATCTCTTCTGGAGAAAGGCTCATACAGAGAAAAAACAAGAATGTTCAGACAATTTCAAGATTAACTGGCAGATGATTAAATTATTGTGCATGTAACAGCAGCTCACAACATACAAAACTTTCCTGCTATCAATATAAGGGACCCTGTCAGCTTTAAATATAATGTGTTTTAAAATTTACCTCCCCCCTCCCCAAAAGGAGTCCAGCTGAAAAAAGTGTAAAAAAAAAAATCAGCATTACAATACCTCTTCCCAGACATGGGTAACTAATGCACAAACAATGTCAGGAGAGAGTGGGGAGGTAGACAAGATGACAAAGAAACCTCCTCCAAACCCCAGATACATCCTAATCTCTGTATACAGTTCTCAAGAAATAGTATTACACAAACAAGCAACTTTTCAAGCAGAGGAAGACGTTAAAACACCAACTTGATCTTTATAAGTATTAAAAATTCAATCCCCACCTGCCATCTGTAATTTTTCTTCTGAATAAAAAACTGAGACAATTTTTCTATTTTGAAAAAAAGCATTAGGCTGTGCGTAGGCCATAAAATGCACTCTACAAGCACTGACTAACTGAGGTACCAATGGTAACAAGGATGAAACAGCCTGGAACAAGTGTGAACTAGCCACCAAAGTACATCTGCAGGTATGGCCCCAGTAAACACTTCAGCATTTAGGACAAGGACATCAGTTTGAGCCTCAGCTTCTCCCAATTATTTTATGTATTTGCTTATTCAGGTTTTTCTGCTCCCAGAAAGCCATCTAGGAACTTACTAAACTGAATGTACAGTAGAAGCGTTGGGCACCAAGTACTTGTTCTTCTACTCATCAGGAGGTACAGAATACTCTCCTTGACGGATAGGAGGACTTAAGCATGAAAAAAATCTGTTGTTTTTTGACATTTCTTCCATCCCACCCTCAAGAGACACTGAAGCTGCAAGGCTTGCCCAAAATACTAACACAGGGACTGAAATCCACCAAACTAAGGGGTGTTAGAAACTGTCTCCACCCCAACCCTATTGGGGTCAGTGGAGACTACTAAGAAAACTAATTTAAATATAGAAATAGATAGATACACAATTGCTGCTGAGGCCCACACTTCAACTCAAACAAAACAAAATCTTAGGATGTAAATAAAGCAGAAAGATTTGAAAATAATACACTGACTAGATTAAAGCTAGCCCAAGTATGTTACGTACACTAGTCACACGTCTGACTACAGCATAGCCACAAGTATGTGCTTACAAGCACTAGGCTGAACTAGTCAGAAGGAAAAAAGGGTTTCCAAGTACCTCCTGTAAAGCCTACTTGACATGTATCTATATTTACATTCCTGAGATTCTAATCACCTCTGAAATAGTGATTGTTTATTTATTTAAGTATTCTCTGGTTTAGACAGACATTGGCAGCCTGAAATCTGGGGCTTCATTGTTCCAGAGAAGGTTAGCAACAGAGATTTCAAAGATCCTTTTCATTGCCATATTATGATTGTATTCATTACGTAGAGAGGTCATGGCAAACACAGCATCTGAGGAAAAATCAAATGACAACATAGTTGTTGGGGAAAGACTTCTCAGTCTCTTCAGCCTGCACACCTCCAAACATGCAAACTATACTCATGCAAGTACTGTTATCATCTCATTATCCTCATGTTAATGACTGCAGAATTTCACAAATGAAACCAAGTCCTTACCTTTCCCTTAGAGAGGATCGATTTAGCACAGAACTTAGAGAGTGCTTCTGAAATGCTGGAGGTGCTGAATGCTGTAATGAACCAGCAGAATGGGACTGTCTGTTGGGTGGATCTGAGATCACATCCTCACGGCAAACATCAGAACTGTCGAAGTCTTTTCCATGAGTAGATTTTGCCTGTAAAAAAACCCCATCAAACCTTGCTAAAATTTATTATGAATATCAAGATGTACGGTTCTCATTTTTTTCTTTTTCAGCCCAAAAGGTTAAAGGTTGCACATGCGTGCAGGAATATCTACCTGCTGGAGAAAGACCAAGGACGGTCATTTCACAGAAAGCACCCTGGTTTAAATTGAATCAACCAGTGCCAGAGGACTCAGTATCTAAGACACCATCTTATGACAAAGTCTAGTGTAACAGGCCTTTTATCACCTTTCCTGACTGAGCAATTTAAAGGCTTACCCCTCCCAGGAATCTCACAGATTCAGAATTACGCCCAAGAGTTTAAGCAACACAAACCTCAGACCTCTCCTCAGTCTGGGACCTCTTGTTCTTAAGACTTCTTTTTCATCATGATTTGCTGTTCTTCAAGGGAAAACTCAGGCCCATCTACTCATCTTCTACTCGTTCTTCTCTATACTAGTTACTCCTTTCATAGTTCCTCTTAACCTGAAACATACCACTAAAATGTCTCTGTGGGTTACCCCATTTTACCTGGAATGGGGACTTTCACCAGAGCTGTTTCCCAAAGCTGAGGAAAAAAAAAAAAAGCAAACAAAAAACCCAAAACAAAACTAGACCAACAATAATCAGATTATTCATTAGCACTTTCCAGACTGCAGGTTTTTTTCCTCAGCTTTGGGAAGCAGTTCCTCTTAAACAAAGCTATATTATATTTCCAGTAAGAAAAAGATACATTCTCTTCAGCTCTGATTGTGAAAGAATCACAAATGATCAGAGGTATCCAGAACATAATGAATTAACCTGTACCTCAGCTATCTGCATTCTCCAAACAATGACTGCTTCTAAAATCTATTTTCCCATTGTGGGGGCAGAGGGATGGGGGAAATGACACGCCCTTAAAATAGCCATCGTCAAAAAACCCCAACCACCCCCCCCCCCCCCCAAACAATGACATATTCAGCATATTTAGTAGAAATTCTCTATTTTCTTTACAGTTTCTTATTTACAGTCATGGAATAATCCAGAAGTGTCACAATGTATTAGACTCACATGGTATGCAAAACCACAATCCTTGGTAATAAAAGTTCAGAATCTGACAAAAGTGTGCTTAACATACATCAAGGTTTTTCATTTTAGTTCCCCTTCTTTCCTCTTCCCATCATCATCAGTTTTCCCAGCCATTAGGATATCTAAGAGGGCATACATAATTAAATGCCTAAACCCACAATTTCTACAGTACTTCAGGAACACAGGCAAAAACCACCAAAACCCAAAGGAACCCTGACATTAATCTTCATATCCACTTACTACACAAAGCAGCTAAAATCTGAAAAAACAAGGATGTGAAATAAGAGTGGCTTGCCAACTGTACCAGTGCTACCTTTGCATGCAATTCTGGAATGAAATGTGCTCTCAGAATGACCAGGAAGGCAAATGCAAACTGCCTTAAAGGTTAAGTTAAAGACTCTTAAAGACTCTTCTACAGCCTTGTCACAAGCCTTAATGCCAAGGAGAAGCAAGCTCTGTACCTAGAGGCATGAATATCTTATACAGCGTTAAGTTTCACATTTCTATTTGTAAATAATCTGTCAGCAGGCCTAGACCTGGTTACATAAGATTTAAAATGTCTCTTTTGTTGCTTTTGATACTATAGTAGATAAAGTTTCAAAAATACCAATGCAGGACAATCCTTCTCACTCAGAGCTTCCCAAAAAAGAATCTGTAAACAATAGCACTTTAAAGTACTCACTTTGGCTTTCTTAGGTCTGTAGCTGCCGAGAAGAGAAGGATCTGGAGAAAGAAAAAAGGTGCATCCCAGAAAAAATTCAAAAGAAAATCTGAATGTCCTACATTTTATGAAATCTTTTACGAAATAGCTTATGTCTCCTCCTAAACAGTACTAAAGCAATTTGTTATTGTTATTGTTGTTATTATAATTATTATTAAACATTGTGGAATTCTAAGCAGTCGTCTCAGAATATTTCAGGAAATCACTTTCTTTAGCTGAAAACAATGGCTTCACATTTAATGGAATACAATGTTTATAATAATGAAATGGTGTACGCATCGTCTTCTGCATAGAGAGAAGTGGCACAATTTTTAAGCTATTAATTGCCTAAATCGATATAAAATCAAGCTCTACCTTTCCCCAAAATGCTCATGTACATTACACTACCTTAGGAATCTTCTCTGAACAAGCTTCCCAATCACCACCTCTCCCTCCTTCTATCACTTCTTCATTCCTTCCCTCATCACTGACCCACAAACACAAGTATGAAGCCCATGGAAGCATACGGGGGAAACTATTAGGTCCATACCAGGTTAGGATGGTTCACCAATATCAGTATGCACCTCATCCCTGAGGGACTGGCATTAAATTATGTCTGGCTTCTTGATCGGTTATATCACTCCGTACTGAACAAGCCTCACACTGTGACCCAAGCCCAAAGGGGTACTTTATGCTGTACAGCAATGTAAAGACACCCCTCTATTAGCTACCTGCACGAAAGCAAAAAAGGACTAAACTGTACTGTCAGTATTAAGATTCTAATCCTAGGAATCTGGTTTTTTTCAGAAGTTACAGTTAAGCCTCAAGACACAGGCAAGTGCCTAGTGAATCCTCTGGATATTAATAGTGAGGTAGATTTCGGTCTCCTAACCACTGGCCAGAAACCACCAACTCATTTCACAAGTATGCAATGGTATCAGATGATAATAGGTCTTTTACATTATCCAGCTACTACAGATTGGTAAGTATGACCCCAAAAGGAATGTGAAACCTTTAAAATCCTGCACCCAGTGCTACTACAAAGAACAAATGTAAAATAACAAGTTCATAATGATTTGCTATGTAACAATTATAATTAGTGAGGAGGCATAATAAAAATGAGACAGAGCGCACAAACAAATACTGATGAGACTCATTAAAATCCTCAGATTGCCAGACACGTGCAATAAAATCAAGTTTTAGGGTACTTCCTTAAATTTCTGGTCCCACACCTTTTACTAAACCCACACTTACTGATACCAATGAATGCTGAAGCAGATATTGGAGCACATCCTGGATGTTTATTAATAATGGTAAGTCACTGATCCACTACTCACAAAAAATGCTGAAATAAACATTATTCATTTTTGAAGCAACAGAGTCCCTGAGCTTCAAAATGATCAATACTCCAAGCCTGATCAAGACACCCACAGACTGTGGTGCAGATTTGATCCACTATCCAACTCATCAAAACAAGTGGAGTGAAGCAGAGCACTTGCCCAGGCTTTGGTATTTTCTACTCCCACTTTCATATCATGTAGAACTATGTTCCAAGTTTCATGTGGTAAAGAACTATTCAAAATCACCTTCTGCAGCAGTAGCTTATTCAGTACTCTTCCTAGTCCTAGGAAGAAAGAACAGCTTTTTCTCCATTATAGACTGACTTTTTAATAAGAAAAAAACCCTACAACTCCAAACCAAAGACAACCTCACTAAACTACTGCAGAAAAAAAAAAAAGCATCAATGAGATATATAGTAGAAAATACTGACCATGGTCTATCTTGGTCCAGCCTTCCACTGTGCTTTCTCGTGTGGGACACCAGGCATGAAGTTTAATACTAGGACTTGGTTGTTCAACCTGAAGCAAAAATACTGTTAAAATGCTCAGTATCAGATGTATCAATTCCTATTTTTTCTGGTTTTGCTCCTAAGAGCACATCTAGTCCTTTCTGAAATATGTTATTCTTACTTAAATACTATTTAAAAATATTTTCACAACACTTTGCTCATATTACGTGTATTATTAGCATTACTGTGCATAAACAAAAACAGTTCTAGAAAGGTTTAGAAAACTCTGAATACCATATTGTTAAAAAAAAAAATTCCAGATAGTTTCTTCTTCATCTATGTCTGCAGTCTTTTTAAACAATTCTTGGTATCTCATATTTATTGCAAACAGTTCAAATCTCACCAAGAGAGATCTGAATCTCTTCTTAATTAAAAAAGTTACATTTAACATAATCTAATTTTAATCTTCATGTAACACAAAATCTCCAGGCCAAAAGAGTCCTCAACAGTAAAGATGCCCTGAAAGGAACATTCTCAATCTAGAAAGGCTAGGACAGTCAGGATATGGTACATTAAGAGACAAGCTTTTTCCTTTTTCGTACAAACATAACCAAGCAATCAAAATCAATAATCAGTGTTTAAAGATGCTATAATTAAACTGTGAACTTCACCTATAGATCAAAAACCAGAAGAATTGATTTAAAGGAGTTAAAAGAAAAATATCTGAGAGAGAGAGAGATATAAACAGTAGATTGATGAATGATTAATGGCTTATTAAGGCTAATCTGAATTTCTAAAAGGTATGTATACATAGAATAAAACTTGCAAAAGATTCTAAAATTTGACAAAATATTAATTCATTTGTACCTAAACTAGAAAAAAAAGAAATAAAGTGAAAAGCAAACTAATTAAATACTGACTTATCTCAATGCCTGTGACAAGTGTCCACAGTCGCAGACAAATAATAATGTTATAGCCCAGAATCAGAACAATCTCATTTCTGCCCCTACACATTCAAAGTGGTTTTTTAAAAATAAAGGATTGTTGCAATCATAAGAAAAATTAAGAGAAAAAAAATTAAAAAGAGAATATGATTCTCTAAGAGGCTGGGAAATCTGGCCCCTTCATATTAAAGCACTTAAACACAATTTCATTACATAAGAACCTAATTTCAGAACAATTTTTCATGTACAGTTAGCAAAAAGTCCTTATGCGGGTGCTAAAGTCAGGTTGGTTATGAACTCTAAGTCAAAGTGTTAGAGATGTAGCTCGAGCAAAGGAAGTGTTTCAAAGATCATAGGATGTCAACATAAAAAAAAGGTTGAAAGAGAGGAAGTGTAAGTGTTCATAATGTGACTAGACATTCTTTCTTTCAAGTCTTATTCAGGAATTTTTAATACTAATATCAATTACTTCCAAGCTGAATTTATACACCTATTATCCTGTCTAGTGCGCTGGAAGAAAAGAAATGGGGCCTCAGAGAATTTAACCAAGATATTCATGAAAGAATTTGATCTTTGTCTGTTACTAACACGGATAAAAGAAATTTTATTTTAGTTAATTTTACACTTAAATCACTATGTGACAGAATGTTAAAGAGAGAAAAATTATTCATCTAAACTAAGAGCTGAATGAATTTTTGGAGCGGTATTTAGCGAAAGAACAATATTTGATCTGAGCTTAAGCTGGAAGTACTTTGGAGAGAATACAAACCCGTCTAACTACAAATGGAGGTTTATCAGTTTCTCTTCTGAATTCATAAGGACCAAGGTTTAAATGGGCCAATCGCTGCCTGGCTTCTTCTGATAGCTCACACATTCGTCTTTTTGTGTATGGAGATGGAGAGCGTGATTTAGAAGCTATTGTAGGCTGCTCATAGTTCTTTGTTGCTAAGCTGTGCCTGCTTTTTTCAGGCGAAGGAGTATTTTTCTTTGGTAACTTTGTTTGCAATTTTCCATCTAGGGTTGAGTGATGTACCCAATTCAAATTACCCTAAAGTGAAAAAGAGAAATTATCTGGTTTGACAGCATGCAGAACAACGGTCACTGAAAATAAAGCAAACAAGGAACTAACAATTTTAACAGAAAATATACTCCATGTCAGCTGAAGTTCACCTCACAAAACTATAATCAAACAGCAATTTAAAAACCAACAATGTATTAACCATTTTCTCTGAAACCAGAAAGAGGTTAAAACACACATTACTACATGTTAAATGTTAAGGTTAGGTGTCTGATACAGTTAGTGTACAGAGAATAAAATATTAAATTGAATTTTATCACAAGTTCATTTAACACAAACTTTGCCTTGATTGGACATACATAGATTTAAAGCATTTTTTCATCTGTTTAAACTTTTTTTTAATCTTTTAACATTCTTACCCTTTAAAATAAAATATGTAAATTAAAATAATAGTTTAAATTATATGTATTTATAGTTGCCTAAAACCTTACAAGAAGTGAAATTACATTGTCTGAAATTTATATTTTCTCAGATCATGGTGAATTTACTAGTTCTTTCAAGATTTATAATCAAGAAGCTATGTTTAGTAAAAAGATCCACCCCTGTCCCCCAAAAAAACAAACAGGCAAAATTTTTTAAATACTATCTTCCAAAGAACCTCTCAAATAATGTGAATACTTTTGCAAACGAAGAGGCAAAACAGCTGTTTATTTGTACAACTGGCACTTGACATCCAAAATATGGATTTTGTAGCCAAAATTTATAAAAATTCCACCCTTATCAAATATTGCCTTAAAAGTCTATCTCTGAGTTGATATTGATTTTAAAATACCTACATACAGCAGAATAAAGGAAAGTAGAGTTACAACCAACCTCACCATCCCCCTTCCCACAACACAGGACAGGGGTGGCGCTGTTGTAGTTTTTGTTGTTGCTGTTACCAGCAAAGCCTTCCTAACAATCAGGGCTCACACCCCCTCCGAGTAACTATTAACTTCTTCAGTGACCAATTTCAAATTCTGGGAAAGTGTTTCCAACACTGAAGTTTTGTTTGAAATACATTACCATTCCTTTGTAATTCCTGGCATTAAATGAGCACTCAATTACTCTACAAGCTTTATAGGTCAAGACACTCTAGATTATACAACTCTTACCAGGCTACTTAGTCAGCAGCATGTTTTAACTTTGAATACTGCAGTATGGATAATTAAGCTTTTTGGTCAAATTTGGCCCAATTTCACAGGTTATAAAAGATTTTTTTTTTAAAAAAAAGGTATAGCAAGACTTTTCTTCCTGTTAGAAATTCTTTTTCAAGCTTAAGAAAGTTGACATTAGTCTTAAATCTGAATGTTGCGTGCATTACTTCAGAAGATCTCAGAAATAAAATGCCCAGCTTGCCTGCAACCCTTTCCCTCTACACCCAATAACAAACAAGGCTGAGGTTGTGTCTTTTTTTTACATCAGCATCACACAGACTTTTCACGCCACTGTCATTCTCACACCTGAACTAGCACTTGTGCAGCTGGTAGCGAGCCAGCGTATGGAACTGGCTCAAACAAAACCAGACCTATTTCTCTTAAGATTAACTTCCATTTCACATGAAGTAGGCTGTGCTTCTTCTGGCTTATACCAATCATGAAACTAGACCTTCACTGCAACACATGCAAATTTGATATGCCATTCATAACATTAAATACTTTTAAGGACATTTTAAATTTTAAATCAAACTGCCCTAATTGAAGTCATCTTCAGCGAAATTAGTTTTCTGACAATGACAATTTTTGTGATTTTTTTATACTTTATCTAAGTGTCTCAATACATTTCATTTGCTAAATTTGGAAGAAACTTCTCAGTGAACTAATTAGCAATGCCAAAAACAGGTCAAAGTCACCTAACCCTCTTTGCATGCAAGCCCTCCTGACAACCACCCCATTTTAATGATGCTGCACCATTTTTTAATAATATAGCAAAAAAAGGAGGATGTAAGAATAACATTATGTGACAACTTGTGCCAGGAAACCCAACCAAAATTCCAATCCGTGAGACCAGAGAAGAGTGCTACCAGATGAGTTAACACAAGAGAGGTTTCTTCTTTCCCCCAGCTATGTCACCTTTAATTTTGCTCACTGCAGAAGCAGCATTTCCAGATTAATACTGGTGACAGCCTTTTCAACAAAAATCTTCATCTCCATTACCATTACTGATATTGTTATGGAAAACAATTAAATTAATAGATTTGGTTTTGATAACGTACCTTCTCTGACTTCACCTAGCTTTCATTGTCCCACCTTAATTTTAAGTGTCAGTAAGAAATGGTGAGAAGGCATCTTCCCACCTACAAATACACTAGGGATTGACACTTCAGCTGATCATAGAACATAGTAGCTGATAATTGTTTCAGATTCAAGGAACTCTCAGCATTTACTGTCATGCACCAAACCCACTCTTTACTCATACTTGATTAAAAATTTAATCAAGTTGTCAAGCACCCATGACAACTGCTTTAACCACAATTAAAGAATGAGAAAAGTTTGAAGTGAGCAGCACATGCAAAAATTGGAACCAAGGCTATCAATATTAAATCTAGAAATTAAATTGCAAACAATTAAATTATGCTAACCTGTATGTGACTCCTTCCTGAGCTTAACAGACTTTCTGTAATAAGGGAGCTTGTAGAAAATCTCAATTTTGGTGCAATTCCCTAGAAGAGAGACAATAATTGAACATCAAGCTCCAACTCAAGATAAAGGGTATCAAAGAAGTAAATGTCACCTAATGTAACAAACCATTCCTAATTTTCAGCCATTTGCTTTGTTAATTTCAGCCTTTAATAAAGATAATTAGAAAAGACAGAACAGCAATGGTAAATGTCAAGATGCTAACATTTGCATTTCTGACAATTCAATTACAGATGATTATATTGCTTTCATACAACAATTAAGGTCTGACTTTTATTTCAATACATTTCTTTGTCAAAAGCACTTTTAAAGATTTTTTACGCCATGCTATATAGCATCAATAAAAATTCCAGTCATGCTCTAGAGGTTTCATTAATGCTAACTTTGTAAACTTATTTATAAATAGTTTCAATTGTGCAATCTTTTTTGTAAAAATATTTTGAAAATTAGTCAATTACACTGCAAATAACTATTCATTTCTAACAGCATGATTAAGAATCCCCTTTATTTGGTAACCATTAGAGCAAAGTCTGATTTCTGTGGATTGTCTCCAGTGTTCTATAACCATGTTCCACTTTCTCTCAGTCCCCTCTTAGACGTGCGGCCGGCAAGAGGTGGTTTGACCAATTTGGAGTCAGTGGGGTCCTACTGGGCCTCCTGGTCAACCTGCACAGACGTACTATTGGTCAGCAGGTCCTTCCATCTTTACATGGGTAATAGTTCCTGTTCAATCCATCTTCTTTTACTTCAGCCATGTCTAGAAACATAATACCTTTGAGAGCTCTACTTCCCATTAAATTTAGCTAGAATTGGCCAAGATATACAAAATTACTGAGTGTAAAGAGATTATGACACACAAGCATTACTTCCCAAAATAGCAACATTAAAAAAGGCACAAAAGAACTACATGCCACATATTCTATAAACAAATGGAAATCATCTATGTGCATCTTATACAGCTCTGTAGAAGCAAAGAGAGAATCAAGTGTCCTTAGAACTTTCTACCCTCTCTTCTTTCAACACAGCTTGCTGCATCTGCATGCATGGGCGTTTGTGCACGTCAACACACAAAATCACTGAGAAATGAAAAGGAGCTGGACTGTTTGTGACTCTGCCCCACATTCTTAAGAATTAGCAGGAACTTCATGAGGGAAGTCTACTGCTGAATCAAGCTATTCTCTACCTAAACACAAACTGATTTCCCATAAGGGAATATGATCTGGCCCAAGGTTAGATTACAGAAATGAAATTACAAAAATGCCAAGAAAACTCAGTCATAGCAATTAACAGAGTCCAGGATTCAATCAAGTCAAGTTATGGCATATAAAAGAGATTTTAGAGATGACCGTCTTTAATCAACTCATTTTTATTACTAATGAATTGTCAAGTGCTATCAACAATGTAAAAAAGGACACATCAGAGTTAGTAAGTCTTCTATAATAAGCAACAACAGAGCACCTACTGCTTTTACAGAGACTGAGAATGATTACAGAATTGTTAAATGCTTATAGCTAAAAAAAATCACACAAAACTACGGTTTCTTCAGAGAAATGGTTTGTAGAGAGGGAATATGGGATGGCACTCACATACACAGGCATGGATATGTCAAAAGTAACCTATAGGCCAAAAGCAATCAGAGCAGTTCTTTTCTCTGCAGTTCCCATACTAGGGATTGCTGAAGGATATTCAATATAGTAATACGTAAAGACTGCTGTATAGCCCCAAACACATCTGTAAACGAAAATCCAGCCAGAAAGTTTTTGGAATTTATTTCTCTGCCTCTGGCTTAGTGGTGTCTGCATCTCTTAACAGGCTTGTCAGTCTTTCTGTACCAGTCATTAAACAGATATGATATGGACATAATATTAATTTGATCATAGAAAAACTGTAAAGGTGGTTCATATTTAGAAGAACACAAGTTAGAAAACAAGTTTAATATGTGCTTTTGACTGTAAGGAGCATGAAGACAGGTCTGTAGCTTAAAAAAAGTACATACGAATGTAACAGAAGATCTCGTATTGGTATGCTAATGAAAGATAGCATAACTAAAAAGAAACTGTTTTAAGTGACATGGCAAATGCTGCATGAGGGTGGAGAATGGAGATAAGAACGTCTGTAAGAAGTCATCACCAGTCAAGGTTTAAACATATTCTGAAAGGCAAGGGTTGCAGAGAAATACAGAAGAGCCAGCAAAAGCCTCAGCTGGGTAACACTGGACCAGGAGAGAGAACTCGAGGCACATCTTGAATGTGTGTTGTGTTTGTAAGCCTCGTAAGACATTTAGCCAGAGACATTATCAGCCAAGTGCCAGATTTCTGGAGGAGTTCTAATCTGCTTGGCTTGGGATTCCTTCCAACTGGCAGATTAGCAGTGTTAATCAGACACTGTTATCACTGCCTATCTGAACTCCACAAACGTAACCTTGTTGCTACCTTTTTTTTTTTTTTAATAAACCCCAAATTTATCTGGAATCAAAGTGCCACTGAAGCAAAGCTGTCATTCAAAAATACTCAACATCTTAGCTAGCTATAAATAACTTTTCATGTGGCTTGATTAGCACAGGAATAATGTGAGGGTTCTCATGACCTTGTTTAACACTTTCCCTTTTCCTTAGCATACATACTCAGTGCTTGGTGCTGACAGAGTTAGCAGGAGATACTTGCCAGTAAAGCTTCGGGAACACTAGAAGATGGAGGCATTTGAGATTGCATTTCTACTGGAGGTAAAAATCCTCTCTCAGTTATCCCATTTAGCAAGCAAGGAGAGGAACCATAAGTTCTTTTTGGGAGCCTCCTTCCAATTCCATCAAACACAGCTGCTTTATGATTCCTGAAAATGGGGTCAGTATGCCAAAATCCTTTCTTAAACTATTCTTTCTGCGATGGAGGTGGAACGAAGCAACAGATGCTTCTGCAGTCCTCATTCCAGGGCAAAGATGGATTTCATTTACACTGTTCTCAAGGACATGAAAGTACATTTCTGTCTTCCATCAGTCAACTTTTTAAAGCTGCTACAGTGTCATCATTCAGCTACACATCCAAATGACTCTGATCAGATCTTCTCACAGTTCACAAATTATGGCACCTTCTCTTTATTAAAAAATACTTATTTTTATATTAAATAACTCAGTCCAACAAAAAACCTCAAACTTCTGTAGTGGCTCTGCTTCTGCAAAGATTCATTATATTGCATTTACAAAAAATCTGAAACCATTTTGCTAATACCATCCCATTTATTACTACCTTCCTATCTGTTCTTTCTCAACACCAGAAAAGTACCTATTATATAAATAATATGAAAGCAATACAGTCCTACCACCTGTCTTGAGCCACCTCTAACATGCACAGGATGAGCCACATCAAAGAGATGCTATGGCCAAAAAATAATGGCTATTTTTGCAGGGATAGTTTAAGCTGCTGCAGAACCATGCATTTTGTATCACAAAATCACAGCTTTAATTCATTCAAATGTAACACAGCATTAGACACCAAATTAGCACTTCTAATTGCAAGTGACTGGGCAACGTCTAGGTTGCTTTTGTAGTGGAAAGATTATACCAGCTAAAAGATATCGATGACCTTTAATCAGCATTTCCCTCCTGCCATGTGTTTTTAATCCAGTCACAATGGACAGGGCAACTGAGTCCCTGTCTTCCCAATCCAAACGTCCTGCCACTCCATTAGTAAAATTTAACCAAAATAAGACAAACAAAACAAGCCCCAAAACACATCTCCCACATCATCACCATCATCTTCAAAGTGCCTTCCTGAGTTATTGCACTGGCACCTAAGATTCAACAGTCAAACTCTATGAAAGGGCAGTGTGAGATAAATCCATTTTCATTTATTACGTACTTGAGCCCTTATCTCCAGAAAATGAACAGCAATTCATTGCACTTATTTTGCCAATTAGTTGTCATTTATCATAGCTTTTTTGAAACTGTAGAAAAGGTAAGTTATTAAATGAGCATGAATGGCCTGAACAGACCTTAAGAAACAAGCTTTGGAACTGAAAAAAACCATGCAGCACTAAGGTAAATTTCAGTCACTTACTATTTCAGTGGTGATCTTGCATCTCAGGGAAGCCCACAGGTCAGATGGCATAGCACTATAAATTTGTAATGACTGCCATTGTCCTAAACAGTACCAAAAATGGTCTGACACAAAATGCTACAAAGAGAGACTGAGGAGGGAGGGTTACACAGTTTATCTGTTGAGAACCATGAAGTTCGTATGACATCTCCTGCTTTTCTTGCATCCCTTCAACTACCACCTGCACCACAGATTAAATTGAATGGAACACATGTCATGGTACCACACTGCAAACCAAGTGAAAACTAACTTCTTCACGTTAAATAATTTCTTGAAGAATTCTGAAAAAAGATTATACCATCACCAAAGTTCAACCTTGGATTTGTACATGCAACACCTGAAATGGCAAAATCTGTCAGAAGTAATCACATTTCATTTGAAGTAGTTCAAGGGGTTTCTTCAGTGAAACACACTGTATCATAAATACAATCCACAGATATTCACTCACTGTAAAAGAAGTGGACCTCTTCATTAAAATCTCACGATCTAAACCATGGTGCCCACGTGTAAGCTTAGGGTCAGGGAACAGGAAATCTCTTGTATTTTCTTCATATGTAGCTAGAATTTTTCCTACTAAAAGGAAAACATATACTTTAACTGGAAAATAGACAAAGCCATATAATACAGACATCATACACAAGACCATATTGAAACTAAGATAAATTTTGTTCTTTACAAATTAACAGCATAGGTCTAAAACTCATATCACACTAGGAAATAACCTCATCAAGTTAAATCAGCAGTAGAAATATTCAGAATTTGGAAAGTATGTTTCGTTGTTATTGTAAAAAAATTATAGAACAGTTAACACAATCTTCTTTTAGACACATATGAGAAGCTTTCTATAGGCAATTCTGCAGTAGTTTTCCTCTATTTCCCTTCCCCATGCCACAGAAGAAATCAGTATTTTTTTTAATGGCAGCCAATCCCTTATGAAAAACTGCATCATTCCCTGTTACAGAATATTAATAGTAGTAGTAATAGTAGATATAGTAGTAAGAAAGAAATGCAAGCAACATCAAAATCATTATCTCAAGATTGTCTCACTATCCTGGTTTGGTACTTTTTTAAAAAAATATTTTCTTTATGGGAAAACCTTGAATGTATATTATAAAAAAATTTTAAAATTGTGCCATTGCTGTCATCTTGTCAGCTTATGCTGGGCTGTATCACACCTATCTCTGACCCCTGAAATTAAATACCTTATCCAAGATCTTTTACCCTCCCACAACAAAAATCCACGTTCAGTGCTTTTCTTCAAGTAAACAGTCTGCTGAGTCACCTGAGAGAAGAAATCATTTCTTTGAAAGTACTAAGGACAAGTGACAGAGAGTGCTTTTAATACCACAGTTTCCAAATGAGTCCTCTTTAAAACTTGACTTTATTTCCAATAAAATGCAGATTTACATTATTCATGGGAACACTTGAATTTCATTAAAATAGATTTTTATAATCACACAAACCAATAACAGAAGTATGACAAATCGCTATTTATTATCTTCACATATCCCAAGAGACCTGTAATACTTATAGTGAGGATAAGAGTTTTCCCAATGGTCACCATTAAAATGGAAGGAAAAAAAGTGTCATTCTGAGAACAAGATTATGCACTCTGAAATTTCACAGACAGCCACTTTGCAAGTGAATTGTGATGCAGTTAATAAGTGTGTACTGGATGACTTCAGTTTATTTTCCATTTTTAAAATATTATCACTTTCCTAAGCTTGAGTATGGTACATTTCAATACTCAGTTATTATTCTCTTTCAAGAATGAGATCCTCTTGATCTATTAACATTTTATATTCAGAGGACTATTTGTTGAAGAGCTTTCTATGTTGTTTGTGTGTTGGAAAAAGTGATTGTGCTGTAATGGGCAATGTCCTCATGGAAATTCACCTATTAAACTGAATAATTTATGAAGAGACTGATACAATACCTGGAGGAACGAGCTGTATTAGTTCAAGTACTGCTGTGTCAACTAGAAAGGAAAAAAGTTTTTTTAATGAGTTAAAAAAAAAAAACTAAAATGGAAAGTAATTCTCATAGTCAAACCCCAAGAAAAATGGCTCACTGATTTAAGCTTTATAGCGCTGTACGTAGCTACCCTATTTCCACTACACCAACTATGAGACAAAATTAAGAAGAGCTTGCGTAAATACCACAGATGAAAACAATGGCATTAGCAGTGTACAAATGACAGCTCTAAGTTTGACTTAGAACTTGGTAAGTTCTATCTGCTACCAAGTTTGTCCTTCTTTCAAGGAAGATGATGCAAGCTTCACTACTTTTTCAGATAACTGCCAGTATGAGGGAGCATATTGCTGGAGTTTTGAGTCCAGGGTCAGTGTTGCCTCATTAGAATTCATTATGCTCCATGTGTTGCAAGACATATAATTTTCTTAAAAATTGAAAAGAATAATGTTACCAAAATCAAAGGTTTATGCTTATATTATTTGAAAATTAATCAAATAAATTATCAGACAAAGAACTGCATTACCTATGTGGATAACCAGCTGGATTTTACAACTTTTTACCCTTTTCCTGTTCTAAAGTACACAGAATTCATTTCTAGAGGCATTTTGTTAGTTAACAGTATTTTGGGTAAGTTACCAGTAACCAAAGACAGCAAAAAACCTCTGCCTGCACTGACAATGAATCTTCTATTCTGAAAACCCACTAGTGCTAGTGTACTACTTATTTAGTACATCATATACTACATTGGTTACCCACTAGCTTTTCAGAGAACAGGCTCCTGATAGAAAAATTATCACATACTTTAAACCTCCAAGAAGTCTTTAGAGCCCATGCATGCATGACATTAAAGCATACAACACAGTACATATAAAAAGCAGAACCTACGTTCCAGTAACTCCACAAGGTCTCCAGGATCAACTATGTCAGCAAATGCCTGGAAAAGCAATTAATAAATAATAATAATGGCACAGTCAAAGTTATCAGATGGACCTCTGGGGAAAAGAAGGGGAAAAAATTTTAAAAAAAATAAATAAAATAAAATCAATATTCTTCCTTGCTTCAGATGGTTGCCAAGAGTCCTATCCCCACTGGAAAAAGAAAGGAAACTGAAATTATCATTTGGCAGATGATCAAATTCATTGAAAGCTAGCAGTTCTTGTCATACATTTTCTAGCCATTCAGGGTTACCTCTCCATATTTAAATTAGGAGGTATTGTGAAGAGTTGAACATGTAGAGAGATCGGTATTGTCTGAGAAAATTTAAAGAGAGAAAGACAAATTGCTGAATGTACTAGAATTCTAATAGGTGAAGAATATGTTCTTTAATATATTAGTAACGCTTTAAGCTTCATTTTTATGGATGTGACTATTCATGTACAGAGGACTGTTCAGGGTTTTTTTTTTTAACCTGAATCCTGCGTGAATAGATGGCAAGGAATAGGGGAGGATGTTGCACTGGATATTCAGCAGGTAACAGAATTCCCCCTAATTCTGTACCAAAGTCTCAGCAGAGTGGTGTAGATCACTTTGCTGTTCAAGGTACCAAACACTAAAAAATACCAAAGTGCTGGTGTTCCACAAGTATCTAGACCTATGTAATAGCTATTTGTAAGCAGACAGATATTACTCTCAGCTTTCTTGTTCATCTCTTTTGTAAGCAGACAGATCCTGGTGTCTTGGAGTTCCTCTAAATTACTGAAAACAGTATTCAGTACATTTCCCTTAAGCAGTTTGTGGTATGTTTTCCTTTAAAAAAATATGGTCTTTTTTACTCTCTGGTAGCTGGTGAAATTATCACTGTTTATATCTTACCCACATCACCAAAGCATCATTGATGTTTACTCAGTCTGGTTTTCAAAGTGCTGGGGGATGCTTAAAGGAAAAGAACTAGAAAGGGCAAAGTATTATTATTCATAGGTAGTCAAGAAGCCAGATCGTATCTGTAAGATGCTATGTTTCATTATCCCTGTGATACTAATAATGAAGCTAGTAGGGACTCAGAATATGTGATAAACAACTATAAATTATAAGGCCAGAGTACCAACCTGGGAATTCTGGTGACAAACCATGAAAAAAAGTATCTCAAAGGGAGAAAGATGTCACCAAAAACACTTGAGCTGCTATTCTATCTTTCTACTAAATTAAGTTGACTCTCCTATATCTTACACTCTTTGTTCTTCACCTTGCCATAATTTTTAGAACAGCAACATTCAGTTCCCTCCAAGCCAGGAAAACAGACACTGAAAAAAAGGATAGTTCACAAAAGAATGAACAAACACCTGAAAAGCCTCATCATACATTATAATCTTCAGTATGCATAATTCTTGAGTCATCGTGTGGATAATACAGGCACACACCTCCTTTGTGCTGAAGAGAAGCAGGAGTTATAATGCTATGCCATCCTCAGTGTGATTACTTATGCTCAGGGGTTTTACAGTGAGTTTTTGGCATGGGTTTTATTTAGCTTGTATTAGCTCTTGACATTATCTTACCTTTTCAAATACTAGTTTTTCTTGAAAGAAGAGTGGAAACGCTGCAGGGACGCATTGAGTTTTTTTGTACTGCCCAAGTACAGAGACACTGAGATAAAGTTCCTCTTTGTCTTTCAGCAGCACTCCAGGGCAAGTTATCTGTAAGAGTAACACATTCATTAAACAAACTGAACTTTAGTTATAAAAATAACGGCTGTTTTCAAGATAAAATGAAATGGTCAAGGCTGAAATGGTTGATTTTGGAGACTCAGATTATAACAGATTAGAGTGAAAAAAATTCTTTTCTAAAGCAATTCTGTTTGTACAGACTGACTAGGAAAAATAGTCACTATTTAAAAATAATCAGGACCAAATACTGTAAGTAAACATATACCATTGTCTTCAACCAGAACTGAAACCTGGTATACCAATCCCAAGTTAATACAGTTAAAGGTATACACTGACTATATAAGAGTTAATCATCAAGGGTCACATCAGGCTCTACATGAAGTGTCATGTAGAATGAAGTCTACATGATGCCAAGACACAAAACCCCATCCAAATTTTAGCCTAGCCACAGGGAGAATGAAGCCGATATATATACATGCTTAGATAGCCATACTCTGTCCAGCCACCAAAAAGGGCAAGTTTATTTGCAAATATTATATTAACTTTGCTTTCTAATATGTAAATGAGAAAAAGCAGCTGTTGTTCCACTATTATGAGACACATGGCACATAATTTTTTTTATCTGAGAAGTTTGGCCACGTTGGAGGGTATTCAAGTCAGGGGAGGCTCCTCATTAGGCTGCCAGATACTGCTACTAATCTCTCGACTCTTCTCTGCGCGATTCTTATTCTTTAACTACAAAGAAGTTGGCATGTTTTTTAAGCTCCTGATGAACATCAGATGTTCTTGTGTTTTCATTGCAAGGATGTACACAACTCATAGCAAAAGTAGTTGCTATTTTCCACAAGCCACATGGATTTATTCTATTAACGAGCCACAGAATTGTCACCTTTCACTCCACTTCCACTGCTCACTTTTTATCACAGTATAATAAATATGAGGTTGTCTCTTCCAACATAAGGTTGCTGCAGAAAATGTTCAGACTTTCAAGTGCCAGGTAGAAAGACAAAGGAGGAGAGTGACAGGAATTAAAATAAGAGCTTTGGTTGCAGTCTCGTACTCCCAAATGAATGTTTTACTTGAGAAATCCTAACTGGATTTAAAAGAAAACTACATAAACAGTAGAAAAACAGCCTTGGGTGAAAGAAATAACAGAAACTAATGTGCGATAGATTATTATAGATACAGTATAAGCTAAAAAAATAGTGCTTCTTTTCATAAATATCCAAAGAGGGGAAAAAAAAAAAAAGAGAGAGTTTCCTCTCCATGTAAATGAGGGCTTCAAATCTGCAAGAAAAGAGCCAGCATAATAGATATCCCAATTGAAACAGATTGTCAAGCATTAAACGGCTTGTATGACACTCATGCAATTGCAAGTGTGAATAGGAGTGAGTGAAAGAGACAGATTTCATTCATACAAGGCAAGATCTCCCAAACAGTCATATTAGTTTAGTTCTTGCTTTTCTTCTTAACATTTTTGTAGAATTTACAATCATTTTTAGCTGGGGTTTCGTGCCTTTCACCTTAGAGAAGGCAACCAATATTTGCCTATTTATTGAGATGAAAAGTGAGAGGTTTGAAGACATTGCAGAGGGCAAAACTGCAAACAACAGGTGTCATTTATTCTTGCTATTCCATAAAAGAAAATAAATTCTTATAAATCAGCACGTGAGGCAAGATAGCACATGCATAAACTTGTGGTTTTACTACCCTTGAGATAAACTGCACAATTCATTGCCCGGGCTGGAACACCAAATCTACATGTTCATGTAACTTTAAACCAGCTCCAAAAATGAATGACACGTATATCTGTAGTTTGTTAAACCTATTTTGTAATATGCAATGCATGGAGCTGCATAACACTTAGGATACAAATTGAAGTTCTTATCTGACTGCAACCTGTTCAGGCAGGATGAGGAACCATTTTAAATACTGTAATAGTATTATCTCTGGATCAGCTAAAGAAGAGGGATAACAATGCTGCAATTAACTGATATTACAACCAGCCAGGAGAACTATGATAAATGTCTAGGACAGTGTTACCCTGCTGCAGTTCCTAGGAAGACGAAACAATGTACCAGCCCTGGTGCTGAGACATCACAAATAGCCAGAAAGAAATCACTGAATTCATCACATGGAAAGGAACACAATTCTACTGATCCACAATCCTCTACGGCATTTGGCATTTACACTCAGTCCTAAAACTGTAGCTGCATATGTAGCCAATGAAAAAGGCAGGCCTTGAAAAATCTCTTTAATTGGCCACTACCATCAAAACAAGAAGAGTTTGAAGGGCAACGGACAGTCTTAACTTCTGCTGATTGCAAGCTTCCAGATAGAATACTATTTTGGACTTAGAGTTGCAAAAATAATCTTCTCAACATGAAGAGATGCCATTTTAGTCTCCTTACCTGGCAGTAATCCACAATGCTATTAATTCATCTTAGTGCTTAAAGCTTTACCTACGTTCACTGCTGCATTTGTGAATTCTCCACGTAGCAATGACATGAAGAATAATGTGAATTTCATTCTGTTGCTACACGAGCAATCTAAATGCCAGCAACTAAGGTAGGCACCCAAATTAGTCTCAAAAAACCAAATAACAATGAAATCTCAGTCTGAGCAATCAGGAATTATTCAATTTAAATTAACGGTAGGATAAACCAAATAAGGTCTTTAACCAAGGCTTTCCATTTTTGAAGAGCAGCCTTTCAGAAATGAAGAAAACTAGCAGTGAAATAAACAAAAAAGCTCGAGGACTCTGATCAGAAAAGACCTTGGAATTTCATCAAGTCAAAAGAAGCAAAACCCATCTGTATCCTAAAGCAAGGAAAAAACCTAAGAAGACAGAACTTCTGACACAAGTGGATTGGTTCCACAGAGGGTTGAGAAATATGCAGAGCATTGTAAAAGGACAGGAAAAGGAATCAGAAATTTGAACACAGCTTTAGTCACAAATAAATTGAACAAGAAGAAAATAACTGGACATAGTATAAATCAAGCAGGATGTGAAAACTAACAAATCTATGTCCCTTAGTTTTAATGATACTTAATACGGGAGAAAAAAACCCAACAAAACAAAACAAGTTAAAGAATGAAATTATGGAAACTGAAGTCACCCGATATGTACTAAGCCTGGACCAAGGAGCCACAGGGAAGCTGAGTCACCTTCAGCCCAGGTTCTGAAAGAATGTAATTTTTCTTGCTGCATCTATACGTAACTAAAACCTATGTTACAAAAACAAGGGTAGTACCATCTGCTGAAAAATAACAAACACAAGGCTCGTGAGAGGCAGAAAAAGAGATCTGAAAAATTATAACCCCACCAATCAGAATATTTAAATATGCAAAAGTAAAGAATAAAGGATATGGAGAAAAGCATGACTAGAAAAGAGCCCAGCAGCACGTTTCATAAAAATAGATCAGTCAAGCAAAACCTGACATCTTCCTGAAAGCCTGTTTTCTGAGCAAAGGATATCTAATTTATCTGGACATCAGTAACATCATATTGTGCCACATGAGAAATTATTACTTACAATGCAGAAGAGGAGAGTTAGTAAGAAAGTGCTAAGGTGGTACAGAAGCTGCCAAAGGACAGCATCAATAATGTGCAAAACTGGGAGGCATCAAGCTGAGGGTTACTACTAAAAACATTCCTTTATATATCTTGAGATCCCTGTCTTTTGATATTTTTAATGAGCCTGACACAAGAAGTTAGAGTGTTCCAATTAAAATTCAGAAATCATCAGAGGTCAAGAAAAAGAGATAGAAAAACATGTTTGCAGCACCACAGTAATAGAAAGGAGATGTACCTACTGTGTATTAACAACAGTTTCTGCTTTCACTGGGAAGACTAACCTTCAAAGCTGGCTGAGGGGAAGATGATGAGTATGTTAGTAAACGACAGCATAAATGCAGTGCAGCTGTGAAGAGACTAATAACAAGATATATAGGATGAATTTTGGACTTTTTTTTCCCCTGACATCATCTAAGGCAACAGTGAGACCCCATCTGGAATGTTGAGTTCAGTTCCAATCCTGATCAATGCAAATTCAAAGTGGAAGAGCAGCACCCATCCTTAACATGATCAGAAGACTGGTGAGCCTATCAAACAAAATACTACCAAAAGAAACAGATTTCTTTAGCTGACCAAGATGAATGGTGAAAGGACAGAACTGCTGCTCAAAAAATACATAAAGAGACCAAATATCAATGAAGAAAAAAAAAATTATTTAAGTGAAAGGCCAGTGTTGACATTTGTATAAGAGTAGGCCATCAACTAGACAGAAGGAAATTTAGGTTGGAAAGTTTTCAGACCATCATAGGAGTGAAATGCCAAAGTAGGCTCCGATGGGGAAAAAAAGGCAAAACAAGTGGTTCAAAACCAGACTAAATACACTTATTAAAAGGGTTATCTCAGAGAAATTATGTAGCATAGCAGGGATATAACTGAACGACCCACATGTGCTGAAAGGGGCACTCAGATCTGTGTTGAAAATTTCCTGTTCTCTCCTTTCTATTATTATTTCTATCCATGAGAGCAGGGTGAATAACAAATACCCCACAACTGAAGAAGCCTGACCCTGGGGAAACACCTTCCCTCTACTCTCTCCTGGCACATGAGTAGTTCATGGCAGAAGAAACCAAGCAGGCCTTCGCATTATGAAGACAAACACTAGCTTTTGAGACAGCAGAGCACCACCATTAGGGTGACACCCTCACCATCTATGCGTAGATATTCACAGCTCTATTTTAGGGCAGCCACACAAGTTTGGGAACAAAGGTGAGTAAGCAATTAGGAATACCAGGTCCATTTCCCAGTATGTACTTTCTGGATCTGCATTTGAACTTTTTCAATGGCACCTCGGGTATTCCTTCCAGCAGCAAGTATTCTGGCAGCGCTTGCCCTGTGAGGAGGCCTAACCTTGATTACAGCAACCAGGGCCTATGAAGCCATCAGCTCCAGAGTAACAGAGCACTACCTACCTCAACTACTTCTTAAAAGGTATCAGGACAACAATATATAGTCTCTTACTTTACTCCCACTTTGT